TGCAGGGAAATGATTAAGATTAAAAGCATCTTTATGGGGGAGGGGGGGACTTGAGCAGAATCTGTTGCATGGGCATTCATTACTATAACAATGTTTGATTTCCTTAATGTCAGTTACACTGAAAAAAGTGTAACATGTAACTGTTCTTTTAAACTAATGCTTTTCACTCTAAACTAGATAAAATTATTGATTTGTTTATGTAAATCATTCTTTTTGGATTTTGAGACATCAAGTTTGATTTAACCTGAACTAAATACACATAGAAAGGACCCAAAACAAAGTTTTTTATTTCTCTCATTATAGCCTGCAGCTTTGCTTGCAGTCAGAGCACGTCATCAAGATTAAGTCCCATAACATGGCTCTGTGGAGCAGTGGCTAGCACTTCTGCCTTCCAGCAAGAAGGTTGTGGGTTTGAAACCTGGCCTAGGCTCTTTCTGCATGGAGTTTGCATGTTCTCCCTGAGCATGCATGGGTTCTCTCCAGCTTCCTCCCACAATCAAAAAACATGATTGTTAGGTTAATTGGCTTGTCTAAATTCTCATATTTGAAAAACCTAATTTGGTTATATTTAAATTAACTAGTTTCTATACAAACATTAATTCTTGTTAATTTAGTTAAAATTAAGTATATTAGGTAATGTCAATATATTAGTTTAGTTGAGGGCAAAGATTTTAAGTTCTGTCAAGTGCAGTATTGTTTACATCAACATAATATTATCAGGTCATAAGAAGCGATTAAATTCAGATTCTGTGAAGTCAAATATTTTACATCATTTTGTTTTTTAGTTTGAGCAAGGTAATACTTTTTCCAGTGTATACTGTTCTGAAGGGCAAATCGGAACAGATCATGATATCTGAGATGTACTCAGTGTGGTGTGATGAAAGAGGGGTAAAAAAGCAGGGTGTGTGCGTTAGGGGGGTAAGTGTGTTTGGGGTAAGGGTAAAGTACAGATGAAACCAGATATTTATGCACACTTGATGAAGAAGAAGAAAAAATAATTTCTTTTGTTAAAGATTTACTATTTCAAAATAAGGATTTAGTAAATATCAGTGTGATGTACTCTTGTACGTTTCTCATTACTTTCCCCAAATATAGCGGTTTCAGCACACTTAGATTTCCTTATCGTAAAGCTCTTTAGGAAAACACCGAACTACATCTCATAGATCTGTGAGATCCTGACAGGTTAAATTACAACACTTATAAAAGAGGCACACCTCGAAATGTATTTTAAGAAACGCCTCCTAGTTTGACAGGATGGACAACTAAAATAACTCAGTAAAGATACACAGAATACATAAGCAGTGCACATACACTCATCCCTGGGTACATTTCCAGCTGCCTAAAGGTGCCATGTTCATCTTTTTATAATTATAAAGTAAGTGGAAATGTCCCATCATTGAATATAAAAAAGGGGTGGGCTCTGTGTTTATTTGAAAATAGACTGACTGGAAAAAGGTGAGAGAGAGCAGAGAAGACCAGCATTAAATATCAACAAACCCCTGTGCCCAGATCAATGCATTTTAATATCTGATAAAAAAAAAAAACCTAAAATCTCAAGCAAAGAACAAAGCCTTATGAGGAAGCTGGCTGAAGCTGGAGTGAGAAGTAACCGAATAGCAAACTGGGCTGAAAAACAAGAGAGGAAAAAGGCACTATTCGAGAAGCAGCTAAAATCAGCTAGATAAGTTATTTAAAAAAAGTCAGACCTAGACCTGTTCTTTAGAAATACATCCTTTGGTGAGATTAAATGAGAACTGAAGTGTTTGACAGCATTGGTGATTTATAGGGAAAAAGAAGCAACTACAGTTTGAGAACAACCCTACTGTGAAGCACAGTGGTGGCAGCATTATGATGTGTGGATGCATCACTGCTGGGAGGATGGAAGAGATGAAAATAGATGGTACTATAAGGAAAAATTAAGTTAAAAAAATATTTGAAGACATCAGTCAGAGGGTAAAAGTAGGGCACAAGTGACTGAAAAAATGGCCAATAGCCTTAATCCTGTCATCAGATAAGAAAAAAAAATGGGTGGAGCCGACTCCATTATCAGATCTGTCAGGAGGAAAAGGCTCAGATTACAGCAAAGTATCTTGAGAATAAATTGTCTAATTTTCTGTCAAAAAGGCCAAAAAAAATGTTTTTTTTATACATTCTATTAAAACAAATAACACTTTTCAACCCCATATTTAAATAGAAACATAAATTAAACCACCTTTATTTGTGAAAACATTGTTTTTTCCTTATTTTAATCAGGGATCGATAAAAGTAAAACTGTGATCCTTTACAGTAAATAGCGAAGATTAAAGGTGAATAAAGTCTGATGTCATATTTAATCCCAAATCTCACCTATATGTGGGACATTGTGCAAGCCAATGTTAAACAGCAACAAACATGAAGGCACCAAATTCTCATGATGATCAATAGGAAAATTTGCTGAATCACAACACAAATAAGTCTCTGATCATTATGTGAATGCAAAAATATTTTTCTCCTTTACATCAATTATCTTTAAAAGCTGTACAGTTTATACTTAGAGTGATAAATAATGTGATTAATTTATGAGGGTAAAAAAAATACTGACAGAAGAAAAAATATTACATGCTCTTTGATTAAAGACAAAAGATTTTATATCAAAAGAAAATAAAACAAACCGACTCATTGCTATGAATGATGGGGAACAAAATCTTTGAATTTGGAAAATTCAAAGCTGTTGAATCCAACAAAAGCAAAAAAAAAAAAAATCACATTTAAATTCAGACAAATCAATTAAGAAATCCACTCTCTCCTCCCCAAGATTAATCGTTTGATTCATTATATAACTGTGTTTTATTCTGACTGTAATCCTCCAGATCTGATGTGAAAACTTAACAAACATCAAACAGGAGTCAGTGCTGGGGTGTGCAGGCTGATTGGAAGAGGAGGAAACATGGGTGAGAGGAACAAACAGAGGCGTACATCAAACCATTATTGGCACAGGGCAGTCCAGTCTCAGCAGAAAATGTGCAATAAGAACGTTCCTCCACATTTCCAATGTTTTAGAATAATCATGCATGGTTACGCCATGCTGCAGGCCATCCATATAGATGTTTGTTATTTTTAAAGCCTAACAGCATATTTGTTGATACCCTAATCATAAACTTAAGCATGTTATTTTACTCCCCTTCACTAATTATTTAGTGTAAAATAAACAAAAAAATTGTGCAGAAAAGCACTAAGCAGTGACTTCTCATATCATATATTATAGCAGCTTTGGTCAGGTCAGCAGTTTTACCTCTATGCAGCATTAACAGCTCACCAATGATCCCTGTTCACTGGTGTAAAGGCAAGTCCAGTACCTTGTAAAGGCACTAATCATCTTGCAACAACAAACATCTGCATTTTGTTGGGATTTTATGTGATTCACTTAAGTACAGCACAATCTGAAGTGGAAAGAAACCCCCAGTTATAAGGTTTTTACAAATGGACATAAAAACTTTAAATTTGTGCCCTCTTTACTCAGCAGCCTCTAAATAAAATCAAGTGCAACAGATAATCTAAATTGCATAAAGAGAAAAAAGCCTATTGATGTGTGGTATAATCACAGCTGTTCCCAGAGAACTTGCATGAAGCCTTGGGATTGCCTTCTTTAGCAGGGATAGGAAAGCTGGGCAGCTCTGATTGGGAGATGAATATACAGAAATATAACAGGATACAGTAATAAATAACCCTTCACTAACCGTAAGACCTGAGGCTACAGTAGATATCTTCCTCCTAACAGGATATTAACCTTGAACATCCAGGTAGAGCTAAACTCAAAGGCATTCAGTCAGCATGAACTTTAGCTAAAAATTGGAAACACTGGCAGCTGTAAAAGGTGGTTCTACCAGGTGTAGAAATAGAAGTCAGATTTTTATTCAAAAATAACGTGAACCATCTATCATTTTCATACTTTTAGTTGACCCATGTGTCAAGATCCTAAAGCTTTTTGAAAAAGAGAAATTGTTCAGGGGGTAGGAATGAACTTACAAGGCACTAGAAAGAGGTGGGTAAATAGTTTACAGAATGTATGATTCTAAAATCTCTAACCCAACGTAGGTATTGCACATTCTGTTGTGAGATCAGATTACATGTGGCCCTAACATGCAGTCTTAAGTGATGCATTTAAACATGTCCGTTTGTCACTTTGGAGTGCTTCTGCCCCCTGCAGGCAGCAGAGAGTATCTACATGAGGCCACAGCACGGCTCCTTATTGCTGCTCTGCTCCTCCTCAGGGGCTCGTAGTTTCAGCAGTGGAGGATCTCCGCTGGCTGTGGTGAAGAACACCTGACTGGGAGAAGCCGACTGCTCTGGAGTCTGAGTCGTTTGGGCTTCTGATCCGGGATCAGGGGTTGTTGTCTGGGCAGCTGCCACAGAAGGCTCCTCTACCTCTGCAGTGGAGGGCAGTGGAGGAGGAGGGGCGGGGTATTTATTAAGCTTGGCAGCTGCCCGCTGGCGCTTCAGGTCGGCCAGGGTGTGGTGTGATTTCTCCCGAGTCATACTGTCTGCTCCCTCGCCCTCTGACTTCCCGGCTGTGGGTGCTGGGCTCAGCTCGTAGGTGGCACTGCGATCCATACGGCCCCCGCCGCTCCACAGCTCTCCAGGCACAGACGAAGACAGAGACACGGACGTTTCGCCGTTTCCAACGCTAGATGAGGAAATCTTTCTGTCTGCAAGCTCCAGTTCCTCCAGACGGGCTGTAGCTGCACCGGAAGCCACCTGAAAAATGAGGGAAATGTTCCGAAAAATGAATACCAAACCAACAGAATCATCAAGTCCCACATTTGAAGGGATAGAAAGCATGAGATGAGTCTTTCTCATCACCATAGCAGCATGCTGGAGCAGCTCATTATCAGTCTGTCTGTCCTCGTCGTCGTCCTGTGGTTCAGCCTGGCTGTTGCGCTGCTGCCACACGATCGCCTCTTTGTGGTGCACCTGCCGGTACAGACTGGAGCGTTCGTTAACACTGACCCGACGCACCACCTTCCTGAATAAGCAGATGAGACAGAAATACAGTCAAACACTAAAGTGCTCCGACTTCTGGAAGAAGTTTCACTCTGAATTCCTCCTTTTACCCTCTACTTCCAGTGCTGGACACTCGTCTTTGCAGCGTGTTCTTCTTGTTGTCTTGACTTTTCATGATGGCATCGTGTTTGTGCTTCAAGTCCATCAGTTTGGCTCGGACCTCCTCATCAATACACAAATCTGTAAAGGAAGCAGCAGCACCAGTTAACGCAACGCCACATCTATAAAAGAGGATTTATCTTCAGCGACCACCAAACCCTCTGATCTCACCGAGCGGCGTCTCGTCTAAAACAGACTTGGAGTTCAGATTGGCTCCATGGGCCACCAGCAGCTCCACTACTTGGATCTATAGAAGACGTGAAAAAAATTCTTATGAGCAAGCTTTAAAATGATGCAATTTGAAGGGCGAGTGCAGGACGGACCTGTCCCCAACAGGCAGCAGCATGAAGCGGCGTCCATCCGTCAGAGTCTTTCAGCTCCAGCTGAACCCTTTGATCCACCAGCAGCTCTGCTACAGACATGTAGCCATTGGCAGACGCTATATGGAGCTGAAATCAGAAGGAAATAAAACGTGACTTAGAGATGGTGAATGATTGCCAAGTTTAGCTCCTCACTGCAGCATTCCCTGACCTTTGCACATCTTGTTATGCGTCATTCTAGATTAGAATTTGAATGATAGACCAACACATGGAGCAGTTAATTGTAAAGTAGACAGTACAAGATTTCCAAAATTATATAAAACTAATGTTTTTAAAGAGTGATAATAATTAGTGTTCCTTGGCCCTTTAGCCCAGGGTTCTGGCCAGCGTTTTTATGCTTAAATTTCTAACAGCTAAGCTGAATTTTAACTGAAATCTGGGCTCCTCCTGGGCTTCGATTAGCTCTTTTTTTTCTTTTTTCTTTTTTACAGATGCTTGTTATGCTGAAAGCTGTCAAAATGACAGGCTTGTTAAAACTCAGCGTATCGGCCTAATTTCACCAAGGGCAGCCCATGCGGAATTTTTAAACACATTTACCTCCTAAAGCTGGGCATACACTGTGCGATTTTCAATCGTTGCCGCAACTACAGCTCACACTGTACGACAAATCCGCAGGGTTTAAAAGTTCACAGCTCACGAAGCCTGTTCTCACACTGTGTGACCCGACGCTCTGATGTGATCTACCTGTTCACACTGTACGTCTAAAAACCACTTCGGACTCAGCTCCGAAGTGACATGGCGCTACTTGGACTCATCGATCTAGAAGCCAAACGAGTAGAAGAGGAATATGAAGCTTACTAGAGTGAAACGCATTGCGTTGGCAATTTGTACAATTATGTGCTGTAGGCCCTAAAAACAAAAGGTGACGACGTATTTGGAGAAAGACATGGCTGAGCAAACGTGGCTACTACAGTCTGTCAATCTTACAGAAATAACTCAATTTCACTCGCACCACGGCCATGCTTTTGTGTTTTCGTCTGAGAGGAAGAAGGAGGAGAAGAATCCTTATTTGCCCACTGAGCGATTTGCCCACAACGGCTGCCTGAATTTCAAACATGTTTGATTTTCTCCTGACTTTACGATTCCTGATCGGGAGGTGATCGTGAGTGGCTGATCGCCCTTCGTTACCCCCTGTACACTACACAATGCGAGACGCATAATCAGACTGAAACTCGACCCGATTGAAAAATTCTCGCATGACTGGAAAATTGGCCTGAAAAGGCAAAACAAATCGTAGAGCGTATGCCCGGATTTATTTGCACATATAGGTGAGCAGTGAAAAGGTGAGCCCCATGCCCTTCAGACTGTCATGGACTTGCACTGAGCACTTGGCAGATGAACACATGTGCTACCGCCCTGCCAGCTGACTGAGAGCCAGCTCTGAAGACAGGGCAGAAGTGTCCAGGTTTGGAGGGATTCTCAAACGGCTGGACCGTTGAACTGAAGCGACCGATAACCAATAAAACATTTTTGCGTCTGTGTTTAGTCGAATAAGCGCAGCTGCAGGTGGATCAGAGCACTGTCTCTGGGATAGTTTCATACTAAGGGGATATATGAACATCACCTCCAGGATGAAGAAACGATCGAAACAGAAAAGGAATGAGGTTTAGCAAAGAGATAAATAAGAAAGGAGATACGAGTCGCTTTGAACCACCCTCAGTTGTAGAAATGGATTTGACACCCCTGCTCCACTGGCTTAAAGCGACTGCTTTCTGAGACTAACCTCTGGTCTCCTCTGTTACAAATCTATTCATCTGGATGTTTCCTTCAGTCTCACCAGCGTTGCTCCATTGTTGTCTTGTGCATTTAAATCTGCTTCGTCCTGAATTAAAGCCTGAACATCTTTAAGCATGGTTCTCTCTCTAGCTTCTCTGCATTCATCTATGCGGTCCTGAGTTATCCCTGCAAATGAAAAATATACATATATTAGTATGCTTAAAACCAGACTACATCATTCAAAAGGTAAAAAACACATTTGTAGGCAATGATTTAGTATACGGACCCTGCTCGGTCATAACCATTTCTAGCAGCTCAAGGGTAGCCTCATCCTCACAGAGGTCATAGGCCATGTTGCCATCTGCATTGACAGCCAGCAGGTCAGCTCCACTACAGGAAAACACACGTGGATAGACATGCAAACTGATCAGGAGTGACTAGTGACACACCCTGATGTCAGACGGGAGCCATATTTCCATTGTTTTTGCATAACAATTGCTTCTGCATTCTCAATCTGCTGTTTATCCTCTAAAATGAAAGTGGGTCTGCCTATAGGTTTTTAAATATTTGATTGCTCTTACGATTCTAATTGGAGGCTAGAAAAAATTAGCAAAAACTAAAGAAAAGAGATGTTATTAGAGCTGCGTCAAGACTCACGCCTGAATGAGGAGCTGCACTAGTCCGGTGTGTCCACAGGTGGCAGCAGCATGCAGCGGCGTCCACAGCTCACTGTCGCAGGCGTTCACAGAGGCACCAGCGTCTAGCAGGCACTGCACTACCTCCACAAAGTCATCAATGCAGCACTGAGAAGAGAAAACACAGGAAACCAGTAGAACATAGTGAAAGAAAAACATGAGAAAAAGGTTCAAAACAAACAGAAAAGAAGAGAAATGAATGGATGCATCTTGTTTCGAGTTTGAATGCAGTGACTAAACTTGCTTAAGAGGAAAATTTGCATGAATGGCTCAGTCTGCTGCTGTGCAAACAAAGTTTTTCCTGAAAGACATCTCTGCTGGGCCCGACTTTATAAAGAGTTGTCTGTGCTTAAAAGCATTCATTTCATGAGTTAGAAAGATTTAAAAAAAAAACAAACAAAGAAAACATGTAGGATTATTTGCTACACAGTTAGATCTATGTTTGTTACACTTAAATCACAGTGATTGCTTTATTTCCTCTAAATCTGACTTCCATAAATCAAGTATAAGCCTGAGACAGTCCCCTTGCTTCGAAAACCTCTTGCCTCTGGATACATTTGGAGTGGAATAAACTCTCTACTTCCAGATAAACTAAGATAACAGAAGATGTAGACATAATAGATTAAAAAAAGAACATGATTGCTGCAAGCATCACAGACAGACATAACACAGTAGAGTCAGAATTAATGCTTTGGTTTTCTTTTCAAACAGATCTAAGCTTATGCTGCTGTTCATGCAGGAGTAGGTTTGTATTCACATATTCTGTCTATTATAAATGGTTTCTGGAAAGAAAAGGGATGTTTTATTTAATGAGCAAACTTCAAATCAGTTATGCACGCATGCTGACAAGTTTCTTTTATATAAAACCTGTGCATTTGAACTTATACAACCAGCAAGTCCCTTGCCTGAGTGCAGGAGTACCTGATGTAGGGCGGTCAGTCCGTCCTCATTGACTAGATCTGGGTTCACACCACTGTTGAGTAGCTCTCTCACTAGAAAACGCAATAGTATACATTAAAGCATGCATGCAAATTCAGTTCTAATCAATTTTATTACAAACAAAAGTAAAACAGACTGAATGATGTGTTTGTAAAGGAGGAAAGGTTTGAGAACATGCATAGTTTTGCACGTCACTGCTTGTGTTTACAGCTCACCCTCTTGTACGTCATTGCGAGCAGCTGCTTCAAGCAGGGTGATAGAGTTGGGGAAAGTCACTTTTGTGGTGCGTTTCTTCTTCTTGTCTGCTTTGGCCCTTGATCCTCGCGCTGCATCCTTTTCCATCTGAGCCCAGGCCTTCAGCTGTTGAGCACGGCGCTTCTGGGCGTGCTTCAGGCGCTCTGTAGCGCTCAGGCGCCCGACTGTGGCCATCTCGGCCAGCAGTTCGCCGTGATCTGCCGCCATGGCAGGCAGGATTGGGACTATATTGCGCTGTGTTTGCCTCAAGTCTTTGAAATTGGATTCGTATACTGATTTGGGTTTCAAAACATTGCATTAGCCTCTTCAGTCTTCTCTCAGTTCAAAGAACTACATCACAATATTTAGCATATCATAGAAAAAGGTCTAGGTTTACTAAAGAAAATACAAGAAAAAAATAATAATTAACCAACTTAAGTAGCTTTTTGTGAAAATATCTCCATGATTCCACTAGTAGGTTAACAAAGATTTATATAAAAAAGTGGTATCACTCCACATTTAAATATTGCTGACGTATTACCTATAGAAAAAGGTGCAAACTTCAGCAAATTTACCATCTTATCCATTTCAGCTGTAGGTAATCTTGCAATAATAAATTCAATGAGAGACAGAGGGGAAAAAAGGGGGACTTATAAGGCAGAGTCAACCTACTTTTACTTCTGCAGATTAAGTCTAAAATTTGGATTAACATGGGAGTGAAATTAGACAAACACGGGCATCAAGGAGAACAATAACAACACACAAGGCCACATCCGCTCCATCCCCAGCTTATGTCCTATAGGTACACAGGTAGCCTTCCCAGACTTGTTCTTGTTGATGTTCTGGATGAAGCTCCCTGTGAAGCCGCAGCATGGAGGCTGTAGTGAGCTGATCTGTGGGCAGGAAGAGAAGATATGAGCTTCGTTACAGTAGAATGCATACGTTCTGCATTCCTAATAGGGTCATCTTTAACCCCAGAGTTCCCTCGTCTCCCTCTTCTCTCCTGCAGAAACTTGAGATGGCAGGGCGCTTTTCATTAATGATTGACACAAGCTACATTTTGCCATAGCTGCTGGCTACCATTGTTCCCTAAGGGATGAGATGAGGACCAAAAAAAAAGGGGGTTAAAACTGCCAAACACTCAGTTTCAGTGCAAGTTTAAGATCGCTCTCATTACCTTTTGTTCACTTCCAGTGCAGAGACACAACTCACACACTTGCCTCTTTCCAGGCTACTCATATATTATTCAGGGGTTGGCCTGTGCATGCTGAGAGGAAGGTCAACAAGTGGCACTCGCTAAGATAGAGAGAGTGAGTGATAAGATGGTAGACCTAGGACACAGAGCTGCAGCAGTTAGCAAGCAACCAAAACTGGAAAACTGCACTGTTTTACAAATCAGCTGATAACAAACAGGTGCACTGGTTAGGATTAGATTCAGTCACTAACTTCTCTTAAAACTGTAGTCTTGGTGAGGTTTATTGTTCCTGCAATGATTTACCTGAACATTTAGCAACATACTTTTTTAATATGGCTAAATATAACCCCAATAAGCCTTAATATATTTGCTGCTGATTTTCATTAACTTTTTCTATGGTTTAAAAAAATTGTCCAATCTCACATTGAATCCCTTTTTGTTGATTTATAAATTATTTCTAATCAGGGGCCAACAGAGGCCAGTGGCCCTTTTACAACTGGTCAAGGCCCCATGCACTGAAGACAAAACACTAAAATCAATTTCTTATGCAGACAAGCACTGGCACATAAAACTTAACCAATGTTCATTGAAACCATTACATTTTTGAACTTAAAATTTTGAATTAAACAATAATTTTACAATAAAGGAGTTGCACTTTTTAGATTGAGCTGCATTAACAGTTTTTCCTGTTTATTCTTTGGCTCACTTTTCAAATCAAGCTTAAAGGCCGTGTTCATGATTTCATTTCAATTTCCAAGAAAAATGCTTTTTAAAAAGGTATATAGTGTGGCAAAGGTCATTTTGTGAAGATAAATTACCCACTGATTGCACATATAGAGGAGTCCAGGAATTTTAATACGCACATTATCGACACTGCATTAAATGAAGGGGGTTTTGAGCAGACCTACAATAAAAGAAATAGGATGTTTGACCATCTGTATAATACATCTCGATCTTCCTTTTAGTATTAGGTTTTTAATACATCTGAGTAGCAGCTTTACTACAAAATTCCTGAGTTGAGTAAGTTTATCACAGTTGTGTATGCACAGAAAACTTCAATTGAATTTATCATCTAATATCTGTGTCAATAAGATTTTTTTATTACCGTATATAAAGGGCATCCATCAAGGCTCCTAAAGCGGCAGCTCTGTCTGTCAGCTGGTCTTAGAAAACATGTCTCTAAATCACTGCTAACCAAACAGTTTCTTGAGTGACGACAATCTCATTAACAACTTAAACTTCTTCCTGGCAGAAAGGAATTGCCTCTTTAAAATCTCCTGTTTACTAGGAAGCTTAGCTGTTGCTGTTATATCTTATCTGATGAGCGTCTTTATTAAAGCTCCATTAGACTTGTCCATCACTTCCTGTAACATTAGAGAAACAAAAAGTTATAAAACAAATGCATGAACATACGTGTCAACTTTGACCCGTGGAGTAAGACAAACAAACCATCACCTGCAATGCTTTCATACCACGAGCACGCAATCAGGGGACAAGAGGACAATGTTTGCAGATTAGCAGGCTTGGCAGAGTGAGTTGGACGAGTCAAACCTCAGCCAAAGCCAATCAGTGTTGGGTATCAGAGGATTGAAGCTCGGCCACAGACACGCCGATGTTGACTGTCGAGCCCAGAGATAAAGGGAATCATATTCCAAAAAGAGCAACCAGTCAAGCCCCATAGGACCTCGAAATTAGGGATGAAATAATTAATTGGAATAATTGCGATTAATCGATTATGAAATAATCATCAACTATTTTAGTAATCAATTAATCATTAACTGGAGTATAGAGACTGTAAAACATGCCTTTAGCTGACAGAGCAATCCACTTAGAGCACTATTTATATCAAAATTGTAAAACATATGTAAACATTTTGCATTAAAGATTTAAAAAAAAGTTTTTGTCACTATGCTCTATTCAGAACTCCTCTGTGAAAATGTTTTAGTTTCATTTGGTTTAATTTAGTAAAAATCCTTCTTTAGGGAACCTTTGGTCGTCTGATTACTAATCGAAAAAATTAATTGACAGATTAATCGATTTGCAAAATCATTGTTAGTTGCAGCCCTACTTCAAATTACAAAATCCAAGATTTATAACAGGAATTAATCACAAGTGTTACACAATTAAATTTACAGTATGCAACCTGTGAGATGAAACTATTTAGGAAGTTGTTTCGGTCAGGTAGCCTCAGTAAAAACTTTATATTGATTGGCAGCTTATAAACTACACACTATGGAAGCATATAAAACTTATTTAAGTAGCATATGTCTAAGTTTCTTTATCACAGCTCTAGAAGATCAAACTGAAAAACATCTAAGACAGTCTTTCATCATGCAGGGTCTTCTATTGAGTATTTGCATGCAGGTGGATGTTACAGAGTAAAATTTTGCTTTAATTTGGCTTTTGTCTAGTGCTATTTGCATCCACCACAAATAAAAAAACAGCAGTGATCAACACACCAAAACCATGGCTATATGAAAGACTTTCCATACAGAGATCCTACTAATATAGCAAATTTATTCAAACTGTGTACAAAGAAGATAACTGATACTGGTTCTTTTTGACTCAGCAGCACCATCTACCCTGACGACAGATTTTGTCAGTATGCCCAGGTAAGTATGACAGCTTTACTGGTCAGAAACACATTCACCTTCTGATTTACCGGCCGTTTAAGCTGAAAACCACCCACCTGTAACTTCAAAGAGCTTTTACATATCTCCTATCCCTCGGTTTGTCACAGAAGCTGGACAAAACTCAAAACATTTGGACCAGTATATAAACATAAGGCTGATAAAGTGACACTGTTTAGAGTTGGCTCAAAGTTGAAATAACACACTTTGTTTACTTTAGATATCTTTTATGCCTTGCCTGTCATTTCTACAAAGGGGAAAATATGCATTTAATGACTGAGAAAGAAAAAAACTGATTCACGATGACTCATGGGTTCAGGGATATTTGGGTCCTTCAGAACTTTGTTGTTGATCCGACAGTAAGAACCTTGTGAGTCTGAGTCAGGAAAAGGCCAGTCAGATGGAAAATACACCCTAAGATCCCAACACAGAGTCAATGAAAAGCAGCTCGCATGTACAGAAAGAGAATTATGGTATTCTATGTGTTTGGAAACATTTTGCAGCATCAATCTGACATTTATAGCCTCTGACCTTAAACGAGATGACCTAACAGGAAGGAACCGTCGGGGGAACACAAACCTTCCCTGGCCAGCGGTAATGAATGGAGTACTATTAACACACACACATTCACAAAGGCTCTTACATCTTTTAGACGGGTGGCACCTCTGTGCAAAAACTTGATTTCACTTCCAAGAACACAGCTGAAAATCCAGGCGACCCTTTCGGCTTAAAGCTGATAAAAGCACCATAAATTATCACCATGAAGCAGGTCCAAACTGTGCTGTGGACCAACAACAACCCAGTGAACCCAGTGAAGCTATTTGATGACTCCTCCTGACCCACCTGAATCAAACAATGCTGAGTCAATATGGCTCCATGGTTCAGGAATGATCCTGCATATAAAACAGAACAAAGTGACAGGAGCTGCCTGCACAGAAACGCTGTTTTGTCACTTAATGTGTTGCCAGAATTCAATTACAGATGAAGCGAGGCTTAGAACAGCTTGATGAGTAAATAAATAACCACAGCTATCTAATTTTGCATCATTTTAAAAAGGTGCATTGTGCAAGTATAAAGGGTTTTTTTTTCTTCCCCACTAGGGTTGAAAGGTTAGGTTAAAATCTTATTGGGTTACATCATTGTGATAATGATACAATGAAACTATTAATCGATTATTAAAATAATCGTCAACTAATTTAGTAATTGATTAATCATTAACTGGAGTCTAAAATATGCCTTTAGCTGACAGAGCGACCAATTATACCAACAATGTTAAAAAAAATACCTAAACCTTTTGCACTTAACATGAAAAAGTCTGTCAATATGCTCTAAAACTCATCAAGTGGAGTTTTAACATGGTTTCATTTCTTTAAATGTATAGAGGACAATCATTTATTTCTCAGTGGATCATCTAAATAAGTGTTCCTCCTACTTGTCAATTATTCTGGTGATATGTTGACGTATGGCTCTCCTATGTGCTCATCCCGTTAGCTATCTTTTTCTGCACATGGTGATCTACGGTCTCACACAGTCATTGAAGCTCACATTTCTCACCGAGGTTCTTTGAAAATGCCCGAGGGTCGTAAGAGAAAAAGTGTCTACGAAATTATTAGAAGAAAAGAAAGGCCTCATAAGAGGCGGATATATCCTGGAATGCTTTATGCTGAGTGCTTTCCTTGCAAAGCATTATGGGATTCGCTTTCACAGCGGCCCACTGTTGGGTACGGCGACCAATAACAAAGATGGCGCAGGCACCACGCAGTGGAGGAGGAGTTACCTGACCAACGGGGAGCAAATAGCAGTGATCATCAGTCCAAACGGTCAGTTAACTGAGTTCACTATTTAGTCCACTATATAGTCCCCGCTCTATATAGTCATTGAGGGATTTAGGGGATAGGGTGGACGTTCAGATAAAGTAAGCTTGTATGAGCTATGAGGACAGCAACTTTTAAAAAGAGCGTGCACGAGGAGAAATGGACTCGTGCACGCTCTTGCGCACGTTTAATACCGGCTTCACGGGAGCGGGTACAAGGTTGTGCATGTGCATTTCTTTTTAAAGTGGAAAGGGCGGGTCTTCCTCCACAATACATTTAAGGAATCTTTGGCTATCCGATTATTAATTGATTAATCGAAAAAATAATCAACAAATGAATTAATTTACAAAATAATGGTTACGTGCAGCCCTAAAAGTGATGATTAAAAAAAGTATTTCTTCTTTGCAGTCTTTCTTAGTCAAATGGGACTGTTTACAACAGCAAATAATAGCCCCACAATCAAAAATATTACTCTTGAAGAACATATTTAAATTGGTCTTCCTCAGGACAAGAGTTACAAAAAAATTATGATTTATATCACTAAACATTTCGTACTAGCACCCACCTTTAATGCATATGCATGTGGGGGTGACGCACTGGGCCCTCGGGTTCATCTTGCACCTCTAACCCAATCACAGACTCCACACAAGACTAATAACATAAAATGTTTGCCGACTGATGTCTGATCGGGATTAAAAAAGACGAAAGTTACTTTTGGGGTCGCTTTAAACAAGGAGGGAGCTCAGATCCGTCCTGAATATGGCCCTTTTCTGCTAAAAGGCAAAGATGCTCCTTTCAATATAGCTTAAATATTAATAACTTTCTCAACTCAGATGATATTATGCCTCTTATAAGCTAAAGACTTGTGTAATCACAGTGAAAGTCTGCAGGCCCTTTCCTCTTCTCAAATGCATGTGCACAACAAGGCTGTTATTTAAACATGTCGCCAGAGGGGGCGGATGTCTGCAAAACTGGAACTTATGCTATGCTGGTTTTAACAAAAACGAATGAGATTAAACTTGCTCTATGAAATGCACAGAATCTTGAGCATTACTTGATAATAATTCAGTTGCCAGCCTTGGATGAAGGACAAAATAAGAAGCAGAGAAAGAAAGAGCGAGCGAGGAGGATCTGCAGTAAGCTCTGTCATGTGTAAAGATTTGGGTTGAACCGTATAATCACCCAGAATCTCAGTAATTCTGCCAAGTAGCCAACAGTGTGCTGAAAGAAAAAGAGAGACAGAGAGAGAGAGGCCTTGGTGTAAAAGGAAAACAGTCGAAGAAAAGAATCTGGAAACTATGCCTGCAAGATGACATTGAGGTGAATGTATAAACACCTGATTTTAAAGATGGAAATCATTGTAAAGAAAACTGTAAACGACTGAATGTTGCAGGCCTTTGAGAGAACATCTGGGGATTTGCAATAAGTATAGAGCATAAACCCTGCTAAAAATAAAACAATCTCTTCCTGATCTCTACTAATAAGTCATAAATTGTGTAGCCAAAAAATGTTCTCAAAACTTCTACGATGCGATATGAATCAAACAGATGTAAAGCCTTTAAATCGGCGGCTTTATTGAGATAGATCGCTGTTATCCTATAAGATTTGGAGGCGGTCATACAGTGGGTTCCCCTGAAGACAAAAAATAACAGATTCTGACCGACATTTGGCCTGCAGTGTACCAAAGCCTTTCCCCTTATATTCTCACACAGAGTACACTCCACTAAAGCACGTTTGTTAACTTGTAAACTCACTATTTTATGATTTCCTCTCAGATCTGTGATATAACCCAGAGGTGTGTGTTCAAGCTCTCACGTTGCACAAAACAGAGACCACGATCTTTGTTGACATTATAAAACCAACAATGCTTTTGAAAAAGTACTTTGCCCATAAGCTGGCATCCTTACAAGCAGAGCAAGAGTTTACTAGGGTTAATGTTTTTTTTTTACCCCGTTCAAACTTTGATAATCGTGAAACGTTTCCATGCTTTGCAGAAAACAATCAGACACCAAAGGATGCTGGATGTGCTCACATAGTGGGATCTTCTTCAAAAGAAGAAAAGGAAATTATTATGAAATGTTTGATGGATTTCATCTAAAACTTTGTGGGATTAATTTACATGCAGCTCCTCCCCGAGTCCCTTTTTTTTTCTGAGATTACACAAGGCCTGGATGCTAGCTGGATCATTCTAACACGTGGTTCTAGAACAGTGGTTCTAGACCCGCTAGTGGCACTTCTGTTGCTTCTAGTGGGACCCAGAATACAGCGGATTCGCTAACAGTGCCCTGGTTAACTACTGTTAGCTTATACTATTTATTATTCATGCTTTTCTATAAATTTTTTTTTACTTCATAATGCAGTAGCTATGTGCTAACTAGCAAAGCTTGTAAATCTCAGTGTGTGAAAGATAAAGTGACATGGAATTAGATAAAAAAAAACAAAAAAAAAACAGACTGACTGGGATTTTATTTTCAAATTACCTTGCTTTTCATTAGGCGAGTTGAAACAGGTGCACAAAAAGTTGCAGCCATTTCCAGTTTCTTCCTCGTCGGTTTCCCTATATTCAGCTCCATCTATCATCTAATTAATTGCTACCCACTTTCCTGTCCCAGCTGAAAAAAAGCATCCCCACAGCATAATGCTGCCACCACCATGTATTACAAAATACGGGAAAAGCTTAAAGAGTTATAACTGAAGATATGTTTCAAATGACAAGTGTCAGTTTTCCACCACTCAAAGCATTTTACATCTATTCCTATCACAAAATTCCTCAAACGGCCTTTATATCATAGATAGATTTCTACAAAAATTGAGTTATAGCCAAATATAACTTGATCATATTTATCTGCAAACAGCTGCGCTGGATTTCTTTATTTTATGTGTATCGGAAAAAAGGGAACTTAATGCAAGTAAATATATCAGATAGGGCTGAAACAACTATTCAACAATTGGATTAATCGATTATTAAAAATATTATCAATTAATTTGGAAATCAATTAATTGTTAAATGGAGTATAGAGACTCTAAAACATGCCTTTAGCTGACAGCGCAACAGAGCAGTAATTATACCAAAATTGTGAAAAAAATATTTAAACATTTTGTCATTTATAATTTAAAAGATAACATTTTCCTCTTAATATGCTCTATCCAGAGCTCCTCAAGTGGAAAGGTTTTAGTTTCACCTGTTTTATTTCTGTAAAAAAAATCTTCTTTAACCCTTCATAGGGCAAGTTACCCTTTTTGATCACTTACAAATAGAGTCATCCCCCCCGTCTCTCCATGAGGTCTAGAAGCACAAGATCTATATCCAGCCATTCAGCAAAGATACTGCTACATGGCTGCACATCTTATTCTAGCATTTGAGCAATTAGATGAGCCCTTGAATGATGTATTTCCTACTGTAAATTAAGTTGAAAAAATTTAACAAGTCAAGAAAAAAGGTAAAAAAGTAAAGTTAAAAAGTTAAGCCTAGTTGACAATTATATTTAGATTTATAAACTAAATTGTGCCAGTATGAGCATCAATGCCTCTAAGGTTATGTTGCACCAAAAAAAAAAAAGTGTTTTTCATTCTCACAGTGTTTTTCATTAATTTCTTATAGAAGCAGTCTCGTTATTTTTCTTAATACATTGTTGGCATTTCTTGTTTTTACATTAACATACATTTTTTGCCATTAAATTATCCCATTTTTTTCAATGTTACAAAGGTAATAAGGTCTTGTCCTGGATTCCAACAACACTATTGTTTGGAAATTTCCAAAATAATCATCAGTTGCAGCCCTAGTATCAGAGTTGTGTTTTACTCAACTTCTTTGCACCATTAAAGTGATGCAAAATTACAAAAGAAAAAACACAATAAAGTTTGAGGTGACATGTGAAAAGATCATAGTCAGTGAAAGACACTCAATTAAACTGTAAACAGCATTTAATTTAATAAAACTTCTTGCTACTCTAACACCTCAGCCAGAGAGAAACTTATCAGATCAAGAAGTGATGCTGTGGCTTTATCAGCTTATTATTTTATTACCAAGGCCACATTGATCACCAAAGAGGGAAGGGTTTTACAGCTTTATACTCTGACCTGCAGATTTAGGTCACTACTTGAACCATAGTTCATTGCTTTAACGATTATATGATCATATAAACTAACAATTTTAAGGGATTTTCTGTTATTTCTAACGGCAATTAAAAGCTCTAAGAGCAGCAGAGGGTTTACCATGGAGCAGATGAGCTAACCATCATTAGCTCTCCTGGATCAACAGGTAGCTGCAGGTCTGACAGGTAGAGAGCACTTTAATTAACACGCCATTATTCATTGGAGCTCCAACTGGCTCTTTCCTCTGTTATGTTATAAAAACGACTGTGAGCACCTGTTGAGACGAGTTTATTAACTCGGCTACAGAGAGGTCACGTCATGCTAACGTTACCTTAGCTGCCCGCTGCTCCATAACCATAAACTAACCGCCGTGGGGGTTAGAATAAAAATTTCAGTGCGCTCTGTGTCGAGTTTATTCGGCTGACTGCGCGTGGATAAAACTGAGCGGGGTATTGTTCAAATTAAAGTTTACAGAAAACACAGAGAGGACGCCTTACCTGTGGAGGTGGCTGTCAACGGCTCCTGTTCAGCTCTGCGGCTATGAAAACCGAGTCAGCTGCTCTCCACCGGCCGGGGCCAGCCCTCAGGGGAAAAGCCTCACCATAACAACCTGACCTGAACGTCTCTCCTCCTACAGCGAGGCCTCCGCTAGGGGGCGACAGAGCCTTCCGGGTGATGAGTTTCACTGTGGAAGTTCAATAGCTTACAGTACAGCCTTTACTAAAGTATTATCACCTCTCATCCAGAGAATATTTCTATCTTCTAGATCTATATAAAAAAAGGTGGAATTCTTATCCATAAATGTCGTTATTCAAAATGCTCCCTCTCATTCTCTGCTCTCAAGAACGAACTTTCCTCCTTCAACAGATGTCTGAAGAAGATGCAGAACCTTAAAGCAAATAAATTGTCTGATTTATTGGAAGAATTTCAGTTAGTCCCCTCTTCTTAATTAATTTTATTTTATTTTATTTTTTTCCTTGTTCTAGCCAATAATTTTTTATTGGAGTTAATAGGAGTTGTGATCTTATTTGTTTCTTGTAATGTTCAATTTTGACATATTGATAAATTTGTCATTGATATTCTGTTTTTTACAATAAAAAAAACAAACAAAAAAAACTCATCCAGAGACGTAGCAAGAAAATGTTTACATGGGTGGCCAATAACCAATGTACACTGAGGGGTGGCCGAAAGTGGATAGGCACAAGAACCTTAGGGTCAAGCCAAATATCAGATTAACTATATTTTTCTACAGCCTTTGCTAACAAATATACACATATATTTAAACATCTGTGCTTTCTGGATTAAAGGTATAGTGGATAAAATACTTTAACATTTGAGTTCTGGGGCAAACATCATTTCCATTGTCATTACTTACCCTTATCAATAATTATTCTGCATAAAATTGATATTTACAAATACTAATACCTACATAAATTGATTGTTTAATATGTTTTTATTAAAATAGTTATTTATCTATGATTTCAATGAAGACTCCTAGAGGATTTGCAAAGACATAATTTTCTCTTTACCCAATATAACACAAAATCTAGTTCTGAAAAGAGCATGAATTCTGCACTTATCATCTTTAATGTTAGTATATTGATGTGTATAATTAACCGCAGTGTTTTTGTTGTCAAGAAATTATGAATACATGAAAAAAAAGGTAAGTAATATATGAAAAATTCAAATGAATATTCCACTTGAGAGTATTGCTGCTGCCACCATCTGTATTAGAGGTTAAAATAAATATTAGGGGTGGTCACAGGGGTGGTCAATGATTGGCTAAGGGTGGCCATGGTCACCCCTTGCCCCCCATCTAGCTCCGCCCCTGCTCTTATCCATGATTATTTTGCAGATTGATTTATCAGTCGTGTGTGTGTGCCTTTTTTTGCAGTGAGCACCAAATATTTGTCCTATCACACCTGAGCTGTTGATCTCTACAGCTCCCACAGAGATACCAGACCATCTTGGTTGACCGACACCTTAAATTTCAGCTCAGTTGTTGTTCATCACTCAGTAGGTTTGCAGATGTTACCTTATCGGCGTTGTCTAAACAGCCTGAGAGGCCTTCACTGCACAGCTCAAGTCAAGTCAAATCTGCTTCTGCAGAAGATCTGAAACCAAGCAGCTCTGAAAAATAACACTCATACGAAAAATACAACAAAACAATGGATGGAAATTAGTTACATTAGATTTTATTTACAGATATCTGATGAGATGGGAATATATACAAATGCAAGCCACACTTTCCAGATTTGTATCTAAACAAATAAACTATGCACCATTTGTCTTCCACTTACTAACGACATTCATTCAGTGTCAATTATCTGAATAGTTTGAAGTCTGTGGTTGCAACAGGATAAAATGTGTTAAAACAAAATTATTTGCATCCACAAATTACTATATTTCTGATATACGGTATGTATATCTTTTTTTTTTTTAAATCACTCAGTTTTGTCCAATTATCCATGGAGAATTTGACATTTGGGTGTAATCTCTGATTAAATACTCTAATGTTAAAGGAACTTACACTCAACGAACCTTTTGTAAATAAGTGGCTGTGCGGATGAGTCGTGCCTGACAGCAAATGCACACCACCCTTTTTCTCCCATATGAATACAGGCTATATGAACATCCTCATTTGATTCAGTTTCACCAATCAGAGCAGGTTTCTTGTTGTTCCTGCGTTGGTATCTAAAACTAAATACACAGTTCTGATCTTTTATAGTTTGCTGATTCCTGCAATAAGCCAACCGTAAAATAAATATTAAGGGTCCTAGTTAAAAAAAAAAAAATCTGTTTAATAGAATCTTCCCTATGATTAAACATTGACACCTCATAGGCTGAAAGAGGTTGGACAACAAACCAAGCAAAAGCTCGGGAACTACTGTTCAATAGGGATGAAACGAAAATAAAAGCTTAACAAAAGGTTTTTCAGAGCATGCGGATATTTTATGTGGCTTATTTTCCTGGATTCCTGGAAAAATATGGCATGACACTGACCGAAGAAACCTCATTTAATGAAAGAACGGAGAACATAATCAACCTGGTGTTAATAGCATTCATTAAATACTTATTCTAATAGAGAGATTTTTTTATGTCCTACCATCACAAAAAGAAGTTTCCTCTAATATTTTACTAAAGCTGTTCCAGCAAGCACCTTAGGTCCATTGTAAAGCATGGTGTAGTATTGGTGATGCTTTGACCTGCTACTTTTCTTTTATTGTCAGTTAGACATTGAATGTTACCAAGCTAATATTAAGTTAACCAGTTTTAAAGATTATTCTTCCATTTTCTCATCAGAAGAAGAAGAATAAAAACCCTCTGAGGAATAAAGCCCAGACAGACAAGACGATTTAGACTGTCTTAAACTTTCTCTGCCCACGACAAGCAGACTTTTGAAGCCTACTTAGGAGGGATTTGTCTCGACACAGTCAGCCTAAACATTGACAGCCTTGTTCCTGATGCTGCTCTATTCACAGGGATTCCCATTCTTCCTATGCTTCAATCACTAATCCAGTGAAACCAATTAGGTCTCACTCCAGTAGACAGGAAGAGATAGTTTGAGAGGATGTATTCAAAGGGTTGTTTTGGGAAACCAACACTACGGGGTTACATAATGTAGGATACAGGATTCCCTGCTTCAGCACTATGTAGGACCACAAAGAACTGTAAGAATAATAAAGAAACAGTGCTTTTTTACACCCCCGGTTCTGCTGATTATATTAGATGAAAGTCAAACTGTAACCACTAGAGGGGGACAAAGTCTGCCAGCAACAAGGACACATATTAAAGAGAAGTAAAGCCTTGGTGTAGATTGCAGCAGGTGGGTGAGGGATGATTGTTGAACATATCAGTAACCAAACAGCTTGAATAATGCTTCAAAGCAGGAGAAGATGCAATGTTAAGTGGTGAGTCATTTCTTGGTAGGATTTCCCAAAAAAATGTTTTATTTTTTCCCCCAAAAAAAACATGCAAAGGGCTCAACAAGTGTTGGTGAGATATTAGGTGTTAGATTGTTAGGCCATCAGTGCAATAAAAAGGCAGGGGTTTGCACCTTAAAACTTGACTCTCAGGCCTGACTCCATCTAACAAGTTAAAATTGTTGATTCTTCTGTGGACTTTGTAATGGGAGCATGATTTTTCCAACAGCTGGGTGGGGAACATGATGGCTCATGTATAAGGTGTGAAAGGTTCTGCCCTGCACAGCACTTAGCAGCCTGTTGAACACCAGAAAACCCAATGCTTGCTTTTGAATGGGAGTGCCCCCCCCCATAGCTGCTTCCTCACATGTTAAGAGCCCCACCAGGGTGTGGGAGTGGTCCTCCTCCACACACACACCCCAATGGGAGCTCATTTTAATCCAACTTGTTTTCACTGGCTTGCTGGGAAGCAAGACTTTACACATTAGCACTACATTAACTTGAACAAAAGAGTTGCATTCCAGAAACCTTAGTGTTTGAATACTGGGTTAGGTTCTGACCAGAGCTGTTTTCCATTTTTGGAAACAGGGCAACAACAATCAGATGACCAGAAAGCCAAAAATTCAAATTACTGTTATATTTCATAGCTACTTGTGTTTTCATTGAGCACCGTCTTTATGGAATATGAGAAACCTGTAAGAAAAACTGGTTTCTGCTACTTTAAGAATCAACAATCTTTGTTAGCATGAAACCAAACTGAATTTTTGAGATACCCAGCTCTGAATGCACATATAAAGAGCACAAATTAGAAACACTATTGGGGGGGGGGGGGGACAGGCATCATTAAAGGCCACACGAAACTTATAAAACATTAAAAGCCCTTAAAGAAAATTATTAAGGACAAACTTTTAGAAGACAAATCAAAAGCATCTGTAAGCAGATGGGTTGTTGGGTGATTATTGGCTTAATACAAGAATTATGGTAAAAGTTGCAATTGAGATGGGTCCAAGATATGTGAACTGTGATTTCTTTATTTTATTTTTTTATTATATGGGTTGCAGACTCGGCCATAAGGTTATTTAGAATTTTCAAGCTGCAAACCTGCCCATAGAGTCCACCACCATGGTGTTCTACTGTTACCATTTTATGTTTTAGTTCTTTCTTGAAATCCATGAAATGTTTCTCAGATGTAGCTCCTTTTCTGCCACCATACAGATACACATTTTAAAGGAGACCTTTAATCGCAGATGAGAACAATATGTTAATGTGTGCTCTCTTTGATATGATCAGCAATCTAATTTAAAAATATATACAAATAAGAAAAATTACTGGCTGGTAGCTTTAAATACTCAACAGAATTGAACAAAAATAATAAGACTGATATCAAATAGATTACTTAAGGTCAAGATTAACCCTTTTTGGACCACTTTCTTTTAGAATTCAACTCATTGTTTGGTGTTTATTCATACTTTCTGTAATAAACAAACAAACAAACTGTGAGATAACTGTTTATTTAGTGAATTCCTGCAGTGGAAATTCTCATGGTGTTTTTTTTTTTTTTTTATCTCCGGCATGCGTTTGGTGGAAAGAAAAATAACCAGTTTGTATATTAGCGTTTCAGTGTTTGTATATTAGTCAAAGCTTTTTGTATATTGCTCAACAGAAATAGTTGATTAGCTTTAATAGAGATCACCCCCCGCCACTTTGATTTATAGGTAATAAACCCAAAACCTTACAGGTTTTTCTTGCGCAAAATAGAGGAGAGTGAAGGGGGTGCTTCACTCCCCCCACATTTTGCGAAAAAAAAAAAAAACTTGTACAGTTTTGGGTTTATTACCTATAATTCAAAGTGGCGCTTCTTTAATAAAAATGTATTATTGAATCAAAAGAGGATGTTTTCCTCCCTGAAATGTGGTGTTTTATTAAAGGTCTTTTTGTGCGTAAAGGTGCCATGCGTTCACAAGCATCTCTGTTCTGGATGTGGTGAGTTTATATTTCCCTAAGAGTATTTTTATGGTCTTTCTCTGTCCTCTTTTTGTACACAATCCCTCCCCAGCCCCCCCAGGGGGATCACCACCTCTGCTCTCAGATAAGGCCCCCCCTCCTCCTCAGTTACGCGGCTGGATTTACATGAAACTGTTAATTGTTTGCTCTTCAAATAGAGTCAGCCTGGAGCCAACAGTCTTCCTGAACTTAAGGACCGACTCTACGACCTCCCCTGCCCCCCTTCTCTCCATCTCCCCCCCTCTCCGGGGTTGCATCAACATGACAAAGCACTGGCCGGAGCAGAGCCTCCTGGCACCAGCCGCTCTGTTCCACACTGGAGATCATCGCGACCATCAACTTGACTTCTGCAGAAATGTGCAGCGGAACCTTCCTTCCAGCGTTGTAGCGCAGCAACCGGCTGAGATGGCCCCTCAGCAGCCACCCAATGCGCGCAACGAGCGCTCCAGCGGTGCCACGCCAGCCCACTCATCATACCCGGGCTGCAACGACGCCAATACCAAGCTGCGGGACGCGGCGTGGAGATCTGAAGGAGAAAAAAGCAGTTCCAGCTGTGGGAAGAAAAAAAACTACCAGAGGTATCCAAAACCACCCTACTCCTACCTAGCTATGATCGCCATGGTGATCCAGCGGTCCCCAGAGAAGAAGCTGACCCTCTCAGAGGTAAATGATCAGTGAGTTATTTTTTGGATAGCACTTTTACGCACAGTTCAATTTCTGCTGGCTCAGAAATTACTGGAGAGTTCTTTGAGTTACAGTGAAAACATGAAGGCATGTGGTTTCCATTGAAGGATGTGACACTAAACAGTAACCTCTGTGTGACACTTGGGTGACCAGCACTTTGGTTTGCTTTGATAAATTTGGACACTGCAGTGAAGCCAGACACTGATCTTTATCAGAACACAGATAAGGTATACAGTACATGTTTTAGAAGAATGTTATTTTAACCCTATGGATGAATATTCTGGTTGTTTTATTGTTGCATTTGAAGTGCAAACAGAGACATTCCTTAGCTGCATCAAATATGAATTGAGCTGTTTTTTGTTGTTGTTTCCAGATCCTGAAGGAGATCAGTACCCTCTTCCCATTTTTCAAAGGAAACTACAAAGGGTGGAGAGATTCTGTGCGACACAACCTGTCCTCGTATGACTGCTTTGTAAAGGTTTGTATATTTAGACTTTTAAACACTTCAAAAGGCCACAGCAAAACCAGATGTTATAATTGTTGCTTTAGAGGGAAACAACTTCTTGATGACAAGCCAGATGTGTGAAAAGCCCTCATATAAGTTATTTGAACCAACAATAAAATATTTGAAAGAGTTCAGCCTCTTAATGCACTGGCATTTGTTAAGCATGGAGAGATATTGGTTTAGTCAAAATAATTATAAGTGGAGTATTTTTTTCATTTATACTTTACCTCTTATTTGGTTTCTCTTTATCTGATCCCTGTCTATTTTAAGAAACAGGCAGGCCGAGGATCCAGCTTTACCTTGTCGACACACACTGTGAGGAGAGGCTAAAAAAAAAAAAAAAAGCTGACCACTAGTGACCAGCTGTTTGGGATGTACACTGAATAAAGGCCATTATCTGTCCTAGCTAAATAATTGTAGGCCTGAAAACTAAATTAATATGGATTAGGACCTTTACGGAAACCATAGATAAGAATGATGGAGCTTTTGGAGTAATGTGTAGAAAAACACCCCCTGGCCTTTGTTAGGTATGGTTGAGTGTCTATGATGCTGTGGGCCTGTTTCTATCCAAATGCATTGGTTCTACAAAATGTTTGAAATAGCATGAAGTTTTGAATTCATCTCTAGATATCTCTACTTAATAATAAAAAACAAGGATGCCAGTGATTTGATTTCTTTGTTTAAAGAAAAATAATGTTTAGGTTTTCTAGGGCTGGATTTTTCATTTTAAGTGTGAGATAAACATTTTCAACAATATACATTTGTTTCAGGGTGTTTTGCACATTATCAAGGGCCAATACATGTGGCTCCCACTGTATGAAGCTTTACAGGTTTTTGCCTTTCACTGCTATTGTTTTGAGTTTTTGTGAAACTAAATCAGCCCTGCCAGACCAGGTCGTCAGGTCAAACGATCAGGAATTTTACTTTTTTTTTTTTTTTTCCTGTACTACAGGTGCTGAAGGATCCAGGCAAACCCCAGGGGAAAGGGAACTACTGGGCCGTGGACCTGAACCGTATTCCTCTGGAGCTTCTAAAGAGGCAGAACACGGCTGTGTCGCGTCAAGATGAGACCATCTTTGCCCAGGATCTGGCTCCATACATCCTGCAAGGACACAAGCCTGAATCTGAGCCGCCTCCTCCTTCGACCGAGTGCGTGACCTCTCTCCCATCAGGGTCATCAGGAAATCCTTCACCGTCACAAGAGGACTTGTTCCGACCCAAACTGGACTCATCCTTTGCCATCGATTCCTTGCTGCACAGCCTGCGGCCTACGAGTGCTTCTGGGGATGTAGACAGGGACTGTTGGTCTGAAGTGGAGCGCCCTCGGCCTTCGCCACCTCCCCGGCCCCGGTACGCCTCCTCTGCTAGCTCAGTGAGTCCTGCATCCACCTCGTCCTCTGATGAGGAATGGAAAAGTGTGTCCCACAGTGGGAAGCGTGTTCCTCCTGATGGTGAAACAGCTTCTGATGCTTATGAGGATTACAGACCACCTTTGCAGAAGTCTGCCAGAAGAGATACTGTTCCCCCTCCATGGGAGCTACCAACCTCCTACGCCAAATATGCTCCCCCCAATGCAGTTGCCCCCCCTAGTATGCGGTTTAATGGAGGCCCCTTAATGCAGCTGCATGGCGGACTTCCTCTTTATAGCTATAGCAGCTCTCCTGTGGCGCCCACTCACTTCATAGGTCACTCCTACTGGCCCATCCTACCTAGCAGGCGAGTCTCTGTTCAACCCCCTCCTCTGCTCATGGATCTGGACAACATGCTGCAGTCTGTACCTCCCAATAAGAGTGTGTTTGATGCACTGTTGCCTGCTAATCAAAACACTTACTCTCATAATCAGCTTCAGAGTCAGTACACCCTGCAGAACGGGGCTCCTCTCAACAGGTTTCACCCATACTGACATGCATTGGCACAGACTGAACGACAAAACCAAACAGTAAAGGAACAATAAGCTCCAGACAATCTCATTAATGGTGTCAAACTAATCCAGAACCTGCTATGTTTTTTTTTATTTTATTTTTATTCACAGATCAGGACTTTTGGAGAAGTAGCAATTCTGTCTGCTCTCAGCATGGAGCAAAGCTGAATCGAAACTACCTCAAAAAATCTGTACAAACAATATCTACCTCGTTGTTTCAGTGAAACATTGAATTGCTACTGGCTCTTTGCACTGCAAGTCTTGTTTGCACACTTGTTTGAATGCAATGTCTTTAGGATTGCTTTTTTTATTGTTGATCCACTGTGACTGTTGAATGTAACGGATGTTTACTCCTGAGGAAAAAAACAAAACGGCTGCCAAATCCCCCAAAAAAAATGATCCAGGGTTTAGGTTTTCTTTTGTTGTTGTAGCTAATATTTTTGCTGGTGTTAAAGTGTTTTTGCCTGTGAAGGTTTAATTTTGTTTGTTCTTAAAGAATGTCTCTTTTATTACTTGCAAGAGAAAAACCCTCAAAGAATCCATCATTTATAAATAATCCACTTAACTTCTAGAACACTCTGCACCAGTGCGGCTCTACTGACATCTAATAATTTTCTAATGATAACAGAAAAGTGAGTTTCAATTATTATATCTCATATTGTCTTTTTCTCTAATTCTTTTTGCACTATTTCCATGATAATATCTAAAAGGGAACTTCTTTCACACATCTTCCTACCTCGACTAAAGAATGTAATCTGATATTAGTCCGTTTACTACTGACCTATACGTAACTATGCATTCTGGATTTTATATGCCTGTAAAGTTTTCTGGAGTTTAACGGTTTTATGTTTATTCTAACAGTGTTGTATAGACAAATAAAATGGATGGTTTAACATTTAATTGGTGACTTGGATGCTGCTGTTGCTTTTAAATCTCCTGAGGATCCAGTAAAATAATCCTATATGCTATATATCCTATAGGCCACTAAATGACTGATGACAATTTGAGCCATTAAACATCTAAAAACTTAGGTTATGAAACCAATTACAATTTTTTTTTCTTATTTTAATATAAGTGTAGGATAAATTATTTTAAGACCACTTATTGTAAATATATGATAAACAAATGCAGGGGGGGTAAACAGTCTAGAAAAGTTATACAGCTCTTTAAATGATAAGAAATTTGGATGGTTGTCATCTACTCTGAAAATGTTGAATAGCCAATTTTTTCATATGAAGTAGCAACAAAACATCTAAATAATCCAGTGTACTTAATATTG